GGGAGGTGGGGGACTGGGTGGTTCTGGGGTTGAATACTGGAGTGTGCGGAGCTAATTGTCTAAAATAATAAATTCATTGCATACCATTTATAATAGAATGGATAGAAGCAAACACGAAGAAGACCTTTCCTTAGAACTGCAAACCAACCATGAACTGGTTTAGCTTTGGAAAATGTAGAACCTATGAAACATTCAAGATATACAATATAGATAACTAGTTTATACTCATTTATAACATTGTACACTTGCTAATAATTTGTTGTTCTACACCTTGTCAGTTTGTGGTAACTTTATGAAATCTTCCTTAGAGTTCTATGTGAATTGTTGACAGGCATTATTTGTGCGTCGCTGTGCTTGGAAATTTGCCAAAAGTGGAGGGATAGATACTTCTATTTTTTAGGCTGACGTCTACCCTGGCATACCTCGAATGAGATCAATATCAATAAGTTCAGGTTTTACATTTCCTGTCTTTCTTGGAACACAGTTTAGATCCTGGAAATGAAAGACCAAGAATATTTCGTCAATTTACAACATAGTAGTCAGGAATATTAATTATCAATGATGATCAACAGACAAATATATTATATGTCCATATATTATGAAGAAAACACAAAAGAAATCATGAGCGTTACGGAGTTTGTATATCTGATACAAAATCAAGCATTTACATATTTGTATCTGTGTTGTATATCAGATATACAAACTTTCGTCTTCGGCTCCCTGGTGAAGTATATTAAAGGGCCTACAGTAATTGGTGTATACTGTTGTGGTGTCCCTGCCACTTGTTTGTTGTAAGTGGCGAAGTTTAATAAATAAATAAATAAATATTCATTCAGTCCTAGGACTGGATCGAAATTTATTCACCTCACTTTAAGTAGTGATGTATCCGGATGAGATTTACTCATCTTCGCCTCGAACTTAATCAAATTGCGCGGACTTGAAATCTAGTCCAGTCCTTATAGTCAGATTAGAAAAATATTACATACTATGTAATAACACATACCTCTAAAACTTTAATTTCTTTCTGCTCAATAGTACGCTCCCATAATGCTTTGTCATAACGGCCGATCTAAACATATTTATTCTGAAGATAAGCTTCTCAAATACATAAGCCCATCTGTGTGTGAGCCCATGGGCTTACTACTACTATTAACACAGCGATGAAGATTCCAACAGATCAGACAAGTGACAATATATCTAATTACATTACAGTATTATAATATGTTAACCCATTGAGTGGCAGCACTCTCCCCCTGATGAGTAAAATCGTCTGGCATTAGACAGAGTAAACATCAAATGTCGACCCTATATAAGCCACCTGTATATATAGGCCCCACCAAGTATAACCCCATCAAAAATGCTCACAAACAAATATCAGCCCAGGGCTTAATATATTCAGAGGCTTGCAGTAATTTACCAAATTGCCTGATTCAATTGCCTCAATTCATCTTCTGTTTCAATAATTATGCAACAACTTTTTAAGAGAAGGTTCCTTGCTGAAAAGCACTTGTGATATAATTATTGATAGTAAATTTCGAGAAACTACAACACAACAATATTTATCAACAACTCTCAAATACTGTCAATACTACATTCGATACTGTCAATACAAAGTTGAACTTCAAAAATTAACTCAACACAGCTGAATTTTTCTGTCGTTGAAATAAAACACTATTTGTAAAATACTCACTTTTTGTTGAAACCATGCTATTGGGTCACTGGTGTCCATGAAATATCCGCAGAGAAAACCAGAACACAAGAACACTGACGGTCAAAATCTGCTACTCCATCAAATTTATCATTTTGACAGAAACAAAGCGTTTTCTCCGTTATAAAAAAGCGTTTAAATCATTTAAACTTTCTCTGTAGTATATGAAGTACTAATTCAATACAGAGAAAGGCCACACGCTTAAAACAGCCAAGTTTAAAACCATAAATGTGATTGATTTGTAAAGATTTTTTTCAAGCTTTTATAAATACAAAATCTTGCTTTTTTTTCAATCAGCATAAAATACCCGCCGCACTGATCTCAAAGTACATAACTGGATGGCACAACCCTAGAATGCACTGCGAAAAATGTGTCTGTTTTTCTTTTTGAAATGTTTTCAAACTTTAAAATACCAGAGAACTACATTACTTGAATAAATAAAGCATCGCAAACAATAAATTTGTGTCACAACATGTTATAACATGTTATTCAGAGTTGTCACTCAAAAACAAAATACAATCTTCAATCCAGTGTTATTTCTCGCTCAGTGGGTACACCACTTCCATTTTGTGTAAAGTTTTCCTTAAAGCAAGGAAATTAGGATTCATTATTACTTAGAAAACATTTGATTGAATTTCACTTTTTTATATGGCTAAAAGTATTCAAAATCAAATTTTCTTCATTTTGTGAGGTTCTAGAGCCTAACAGGTTTAAAAATTATAGTTTTTTGCTCCAGGATTGAACTTTTTCGCCTGACAATCGGAAATGTAGTAAAAAAATTCCTTATTCGAAACTGTTTTCCTAACGAACGATAGTGATTGGTAGATTAAAACAGATAATAAATTAGAAATGAATTATTAATAATTTGAGAACATTTCAGATGAACAATATTAAAATTGATAAAATAGAACTCCTTTTTACCGTAATATATTAAAGTTTAACAATATATGTTATTCAAAACATTTGCTTTTATGACAAAGCCTGCTTGTTATTAAATTGCAGATAACTTCAAATCCCTCGGAAGATTAATACGATAATATAAAAAATTTGGGTTAAAATTAATAAACCAAATATATTACAAAAATTAATAACATTCGTTTTACTGCGCTCAAATTAAAATTTATAAACTTTCCCAGCATGTAATAATACACACACTAGTGGCAGCAAACATTCTACATAGAAAACATTTTAATACCACGGTCATTTTTCTAGGTTTTACAGTAAAGCTTTATTTTACGCATGAACTGCAAACTATTTTTGCAAGAGACTCAAATACTTTCCAGCCCATTCTGCAAGGTCAAAGATCGGTAAACAAGTGATTTGATTGGTGGCCCCAAACCATTAGCGGTGAATATACTGGATAAATATATTGTTGTATATTTAATATATTGGATTGAGCACAGAGGATTGGGCACATTTTCGTGTGTACAAGTATTTGCGCTCTGCTTTCAAGCGCAAGGGAAAAAGGTATACGCTTTAACTGTTCAGCATATAAACTTAAACTTCATATTTAATATTGTCGATTTTAATACTCCGAAGTTTGCTGTATGCTATTGATAACATCAGGCATTTATACTGAATATTTGCATAATTTGTTGTTCAGATTTATTTGTGGTCAGCTTATAAATTCCTGCACGGCGAAGGAACATAATCTCAATTATTTTGGTCGAAAGTACAAGACTACATCGGGTTTTCTTTGAAGACTTTTGCTTTAAAGGTACAGTTCATTTTACATAACGTTTTGTTTTGTACAGATGAGTAAATACTAAAAGCACAGCGTATCCAATATTTGAGTGCCTAATTTATAAATTTCCGTTTTGAATTTGCACAGGTGAAATTATGAAGCCACAGCAAGCAAGATTAGCAAAGAAACTGCAGAATAAACCGATATGGCGGAGATATATAAGTTATATAAATTTCCCTAAGCTGGGGCAATATGTAGGTCTGTCTCTAGGCCTCTGGTTTGCAGGGAAATATAATTTCAGCTCAGCATGGATTGCAATGGGTCTGTTAGTGTTCGTTTGGTGGGATTTTGAGACGCGCGAGAAGAAGCTACGGCGAAAACGAATCCAGAAATCAGTCAGTGTTGCCGGAGTCAAGATGGAGAATTTACCGTCGTGGGTGTTTGTTGAGAGCTCAGAACGTGTTGTCTGGATGAATAACATGATTCACCATATGTGGCCCTACATCGGAGCCATGGTCAAGAAAATCCTTAAAGAGAATGTCGAACCAGCCATGCAAGCAAGCCTACCCTGTTCGCTAAGTAGCCTCACTTTCGAGACAATCTCGTTTGGTCAAGTTGCGCCCAAAATCACCGGAATCAACTCGTACGCGCCCGAAGATGCCCCAGATGAATTCATCCTGGACCTTGACCTCCTGTACGAAGGCGATGCAAAAATCAAGCTCTCTGTGAAATCGGTCAACATGGGCGTGTCTGATATCCAACTTCGCGGAATGTTGCGAATTATTTTCAAACCGTTTGTCGGCGAACCCAACCCGATTGGCGGTTTAACTGTTTTCTTCCTAAACCGCCCGAAAATCAAATTTGATCTGATTAACTTATTGAATGTTCTGGATATTCCTGGTCTGAAAAGTAAACTCAGAAGCGTTGCAGAGGATGTTATTTGCTCTATTATGGTCTTACCCAATCGTATCGTTGTCCCAATGTCACCCGAGCTTGTTGCCGATGATAGTGACCTGCGTTACCCCATTCCTGAAGGTGTTGTCCGAATGAAAATAATCGAAGCAAAAGAATTGACGAAAATGGATTCGGCATTGAGAGGCGGCGCTGCTGACCCTTATATTGTCCTCGGAGTTGGTGCTCAGAAATTCCGTACAAAAACCTGTAAAAACACGCTTAAACCGGTTTGGAACGAGGTGTACGAAGCTTTTGTAGACAACGATGAGGGCCAGGAGATTGAGATGAGCATGTTCGATGAGGAGAAGACTTCAAAGGATGCAAAAATGGGAACACTCGAAGTTGATATTACCTCGGTTGCACAGCATGGTAGCCGGGATCTGTGGCTGCCCTTGGACGGCGTCAAAAGTGGAGTGGTACATCTTGATTTAGCTTGGTGTAAGCTTAGCTCGAAACCCAAAGATCTCAAACCTGCTGGTCAGTCGCTGTCAAGTGCACTTCTTATGGTGAAAATTAAGCAAGGAAAGAACTTACCCAACCCACTCAAACCTAAAGAAATCCCGGTCGTGTTGTGTAAGGTTATTGTGGGAGACTCAGAGAAGGAGACATACCATGTTGGTCTGAATGCGGAGACCCAAACCATCGATTGGAAACAAGCTTTACGATTTTTAGTGAAACAACCTGCTACCACCTCAATCAAGATTGAAGTTATCGAAAGCAAGGGTACCAAGAAGCTCGGAAATGTGGTCATTCCCTTGACAACGGTTGCGGATGCAAACGAAATGGTGCTGGAAAAGGAATTCAATCTTACCGACTCGGGTGGAAAAGGCAGTCTAGCATGTAAGTTCACCTTGCGAGCATTAGTCCCGGGTGCGAAGGAGATTTCAGAAGTTAAACGAAAGCGTGCAGTACGATACTCCGAGCGCCCATCCGTGTCCGATGTCCCTTCCCCCACCACTCCGAAAGTGATGGTTAACGATGCTGTCGAAGAGTTGTCCTCGTTTGATGAAGACCGACAATCGACAAGCTCATCTCCAAGAGGTAGTATGTACGAGGTGAGTAGCGGCGGGGGCTCTAGAGAGAACCTTGTCAACTACGGCAGTGTGGAGCTCTCGCTCAGTTACAGCCATGTCAGAAATTGTTTGGTCGTTGTTGTCCATGCCGCACATGGCCTGCCCACAAGAGATTCGAAAGCCAAGACCAGCCCCTATGTTCGGTTGTACCTCCTCCCCGAGCGCTCTAAGAAGTCCCGCCGCGAGACCACGCCCAAAGAAGGTACCCTGGATCCAGTGTATGACGAGAAGTTCGAGTACATCACCTCCCTTGAGGAACTTCGGGAATGCACACTTGATGTCGCTGTCAAGAACCACAAGTCCAAATTCACCTCCAGACGCAGGCGAAATTTCATTGGTCAAATCCGAATCCCATTGTCCTCCCTTGATCTGTCGAAGGAACAAAGAATGACATACAACCTGGTGAAGTGGACCCCACAGTGATTCAGGACACCAGCACTAAAACAAGACACTAGACACTGTTAAGCACGAGAAAACTTATTTACTTTAGTCAAGCTAGAACATTTTTTTCATTGAATTATTCCTAGGAACATAACCGAACATTAAACCTTATTGAAATACTATAGTTGTCAATTTAGGTATGTAAAACTTATTGTATCTCATGATTGATAATACTGCGTGGTTGCACTTTATTGGCTACTACTTACTAGTGTGAAATAAAATCACAAAGTTAACATACCCGTGTACTTGAAACCATTGTTGTTTGCCACGCTTCTCTACTCGGCCTGAAAATTATAAATGGAAGTTTCCGACGTTTTGGAGCGAAGCTCCTTCATCAAGGGTTAGTGACAACTACTTACTAAACTTCAACTACACAACTAATCTATGTTGGTAACATGTGGAAAACCACACGTTCGGCCCCGTTCAATACAATCCCATCGTCATCACACTTCAGTCTTCACTCAAAGTTTAATAATGAAGATAAAATTATATTTTCACAAAGATATAGTTCTCGCTCTCTAGGACCACTAAAACATGCGTGCACTTATCTTTTAAAGTTTTAATTCAATCAAAATTAACGTAGTTCGTAATATGATCTAGGCAATAGAATCAGAATGAACTACAGCAACACTGGGATATGGAATGGATAACGTAAATCGTGCATGGTATAAAGGTCAAGGGGACATAGGGTGGCTTTATTATGGCACTCAGTTGTAACACTGTTACAAGTGTTACACAGTGTTAAACAATGTTACATATTCTTACATAGTGTTACTGTGTTACATAGTGCTATAGAGTGTGTTTGCACGTAGTGTTAAATAGTGTTACACACACCCTAACCCCACCGTATTACATAGTGTTACACACCCTAACCCCACCGTGTTGCATAGTGTTACACACCCTAACCCCACCGTATTACATAGTGTTACACACCCTAACCCAGGGTTACCCCACCCCTAACCCTAAATAAAGATAGTGTAACACTTGTAACACTGTTACCCGAGTATATACTTGATAATACATCCTAAATCATGCATCATATGTTGACCTTGGTCTAGTCTAATGTCAAAATCAAAGCATAACGGCTACCCAAGCTTTTTGCTAACAGAAACCACACCAAAGACAAAATACTTGGGGGTTTACGCTCTTGAAAATGTTAACTGTTTAGAGAACACCATAAACCACCCCCAGCTGTTTGCACGTGGGCGGCGGGGGAGTTTTAAACAACGTACTAAGTTTGGAACATTCCTTTCATACCATAATGTACGACTAAAAATAACACAACAAACCATCTTTTCAATTTATATTCATTTCATTGATTCAATTGTAATTTCTTCATTTGCTCAGCGTGGGTCCAATAACTTGACTGAATTAGCATAATAATTGATTTGCATTCGTGCGGCATTTAAGTAAAAAAATATTACATTTGGTGATTGACGTCCTTGATTTTAAATACAGATAACAAAATAGCTATGCTCAAGTGCATATATATCGCTTAAGAAAGTAAAATATTTTGAAAGGAAATATAAGTGAAAATTGTTTCGCATCTTTTTCAAAATCTATCTTCGTTTTCAAAATTGTACTGGAACGACTAAAAATCTCACATGTTGTTTCAGAGTAACGAACAGGTTACAAGGTTGATGACAGTAAAAAAAGTTGTTCTAACAAGAGTACAGTCAATACAGGTCTTCGTAACAAGTTGCCACGAGCTTGTTGTCATCAACTTGTTAACAACTTGTTACGTGTAGACCATATCAGTCTTGTTGGAACAACTTGTTGCGGTCTGTTGGCTCATCAACCTTGCCGTTACAAGATGATCTCAAACTCATAATGGACCATTCCCCAATTAACCAAAATTTTGAACTCAACAAGTCTAGACAAAAATTTCATCACAGCTTGAAAGAGCGTCACAAAATTAGTAATATTCCAAAGTTTCGTTGCAAAATGTTGTAAAATGCGGATAATATAG